TAATAATAATAATAATAATAATAATAATAATATTGACATGTAATTTTTTACCTTTTTTACAGTTCCTTGCCTGATGGTTTGTGGGGGTGGGCACAACATAGGTAGCACTTTCTACGTAAACCCATAGATCTGCAAACCCCTCCTCATCCTACTCGAAGGCCTTTTGCCTTCGATCAATTTTTTGCAGCACCTCCTTTTGTCGTTTAAGGTGACATAATTTATTACCCGCTCACGTGAGGGTTTGGGGTTGTATGTGAAATCCCATTGTGTTCCCCCCTAGGTATGGCTGTTCCTTGCTGCGGGGAGGAGGGTGATGGTGGTAGATGGGAGCAGGCTGCTCCATCCTTGGAAGGAAACAAGGACTAAATTAGGGACTCTTGTTTGCCAGGCCGTCGTGGCAGGGGTGACATTGCGATGGGTGATGCTGTTACCCGTATCTCTCCCTCCACGGATCCAGGCACTGTGCTATTAGCAGAGATGCGAAGAAATATTTTTCCATTAGTTTTCATGATGAAAACATCCCTTTTCTCCCTCCACGTGCTGCAAGCCAGTGTCCCTGACCCTTGGCTGGTCTCGTCATCACACTCTCAGCACGGTGACAAGGTAGGAAAGGAAACCAAAGAAGTTGCAGATATCAGGGGACCGGGCTAATTTTCTCAGACATAAAAGCATCTTTTTATTAGTGCTTCTGTTTCTCTCTTATATATGCTCTGGAAAAACAGTCTTTGAAACAGGAGGTGATTTTTTTCCACCTTCTCTTGTGTTTGTGAAATCTGCTGCTAAAATCTTTCCGAGGTTTACAGTCTGAAAACACCCTATTGATGGTTATAGGAATTACTACATTTTTTTCGTCATTTCCATTGCTAAACTGCCCAAACCTGTGTTTCAAGAGGACACATAGCATCCTTGACTGTTGCTGTACTCTCTTGTTTTCATTGCATCCAGATGATGTTGAGGTTTGGGGTTGGTTTTTTTTTTCAATTTACAAAGGAACAACAAAGCCAAATTGGGGAATTCAGGAGTTGAACAAGTTTTTTCCTGTCTGTTACAGTTATTCACCGGTGGGCACAGGGCCAAAGGGTAAATCCCCATCCTTTGAACAGGTATTGCTGGAGTTGGGATAAAGGGGTGGCTGAAGCCTATCAAGGCAAGACAGTGCCACCCCAGGTGGTTTCAGTGAAGGTTGGACACCATGGGGAAGGCCTGAGCCATGGGGATGGAGGGTGGAGGAATGGACCAGGTAGGGTTATCTCCGAAGATGCTCACCTTCCCCTGGAAGAGGAGGATTGGGCTGCTGCAGCCTGCCTTTTGCTACCCAGACCCATCCCTGGCTGCTTGGCCATGGGAGGCCATCTCCTCTGCTGGGCAAGAGGTGGGAGGGGTGAAGGAGGTATGGACATCAAGGTCAGAGTACCTCAAGTGTGGGAAATGGCACTGGGATTTTAAAAGGAGCTGCAGGCAGAGGGAAAAACCTGGTTTTGAATGAATAAACCTTTGCTCATGGGAAGTTTCAAAGGTGTTTCATTATGGCTGTCCTATAAAAAATACATATCATAAAAATCATCTGCTCCTGGGGCAAAGCCCTGTGTACCGAGTGCTTGCAGGGTAGAAAAACGGTGGGTTTAGTTCATTTGAGCTTTCACAGAGGCTAAAATATGCTGCTGGTATAACGTGTCAGAAGCAGAGATCACAGAATCATAGATTGGAAGGGACCTCAAGGATCATCTGGTCCAACCTTTCCAGGTAAGAGCACAGTCTAGACAAGATGGCCCAGCACCCTGTCCAGCTGAGTCTTAAAAGTGTCCAATGTGGCAGAGTCACCCACTTCCCTGGGGCTATTATTCCAATGGGTGACTGTTCTCATGGTGAGAAATTTCTCTCTCAACTCCAGTTGTAATCTCCTCAAGAACAACTTGTGTCCATTCCCCTTGTCCATTTCATGTGACTCCTTGTAAAAAGGGAGTCTCCATTTTCCTTGTAGCTGCCCCTTAGGTACAGGTACGTGGTGATGAGATCTCCTCTAAGCTGCCTTTTCTCAAGGCTGAACAACCCCAGCTCTCTCAGCCTGTCCTCATACAGCAGGCTTCCCAGCCCTTGGATCATCTTGGTGGCCCTGCTCTGGACCCCCTCCAGCCTGTCCACAGCTTTTTTGTACAGTGGGAGCCAGAACTGTACACAGGATTCCAGGTGTGGCCTGACCAGCGCTGAGTAGAGCAGGATAATGACTTCTTTATCTCTGCTGGCGATGCCCTTGTTGATGCAGCCCAGCACCCTGTTGGCCACCTTGGCCACAGCGGCACCCTGCTCACTCCTATTGAGCTGCTCAGGGACCCCTCCCTGCAGCACCCCTGGTGGGATGGGCTCTGCGGTGGGGGTCCTCAGCGGCCATCAGCTGGGTGGCCTGAGAGCCTGGGTGAGCATCGCAGCCTGGGAAGGCTGGCTCAGCGTGGTCCACTGATGGCTCTATTACTGCATCATTTAAGGGAAACCTCCATCGCAAGGAGCACCCACGGCCGGGTTTGAGACCAAGCCCTCCGGGAAAACCTGTATTAAAGTGAAGAGTGGCAGCTCCCTGCGGCTGGGAGGGGAGGGAGGGTAAGGCCAGAGGGATGCTGCTGTGCCACTGTGATACTTTACACCCACACAAGCTCTCCCCACAGCTGTGTGTGCCCCAGACCTGGCGACACTGGAGCCACATCAGCCCTTGGCTTGTGGGCAGCTGTAAGGACACACGTAATGTACAGGACAGGAGATCTCTGCTTCTTCCCCAGCAGTAAAAATCACTGCCGGACTCCCTACCCACGCTGGGGACAGGAGGTGTCTGGACACCTTCCCTGTGCGCTCACTGCAGGTGTACAGCCTTGCACTCGCCTGTGCCTGAGCAGAGATGCAGGGCTGCCCACTGCCTGCGCTCAGCAAGACGCCAGATTTCCAGCCCCACGTGAGCCTTGCAGCCCCGGGCAGTGGCTGAGCCTTGTTAACATCCCAGGGGAGACCTATCCTGCTTCTGGCATCACTTGGGGCTGAGCATCCCAGGGCATCGCTTGGGGCTCAGCACACATGGGCATCACTTGCAGCTCAGCACATGCAGATATTTCTCAGGGCTCAGCACATACAGGTGTCTCTTGGGGCTCAACACACACGGGTGTTGCATGGGGCTCAGCACACACGGGTGTTGCATGGGGCTCAGCACATGTGGGTATTTCTCAGGGCTCAGCACACATGGGTGTCTCTGGGGGCTCAGCACATACGGGTGTTGCTCGGGGCTCAGCACACACGGGTGTTGCGTGGGGCTCAGCACACATGGGTGTCTCTGGGGGCTCAGCACATACGGGTGTTGCTCGGGGCTCAGCACACATGTGTGTTGCGTGGGGTTCAGCACACATGGGCATCACCTGCAGCTCAGCACACGCAAGCGTCCCACAGGGCTCAGCCCACATGGGCATTTCTCAGGGCTCAGCACGATCAGGACATTGCTCAGGGCTCACCATGCTCGGGGCTCAGCACATAGGGCATTACTCAGGGCAACTCTCACCGGCTGTGCCGTGCCGCTGGGCTCGGGGCCAGCCCCCGGCCACCTCTGCCTGCTCTCAGAGGTGCTGTTGGCCTTCAGGCTGCGCCAGGTGTTTGGCCTTGGGTACATCGCTTTGTCTGGCTTGTCTCTCCCACTCTTTGCTGTTTTGCAGTCTCCCATGGGAGAAGACACCCTCCCAGATCTCCTTCCCCTGGAGCTTTCGCTCTGCTTTAACTCTGACTTGAGCAGAGGCCATGGCTCCTTGCTCACCACGCAACCATGTCCCTCACCGAGCAGGGCCACAAGACACGAACCTGCAGAGCAAAATGGCTGAGCGATATATTGACTATTGCTAACGAGCATGCCTGTACAGGGCCTTTACAAGCTGTGCAGTGACCTGACCCTGAGTCTGCCGGTTGCTCTTGAAGTGTTCGTTACCAAAGTCTTATTAACCAGCAGGAGCAAACCGAAAGCACCTTCGTGCTGTCTTACAGATGAACAGAGAGGAGAGCCAAGGAGCTCACAGCATCTTTCCAGCCCATCTGAATCCCTTTGGTACACCAGCCCCAGTGTCCCCAGTGCGGAGCCAGCCGTGTTTTTTGTCCTGCTCAGTGCCCTTTGAGGAATGCTCAGCACACTGCAGAATCCAGCCTGGTCCTTTTGTCAGATGTTGTGTCAAGGGAAAAGTGTTAAAGTTGTGGTCCGTCACGGGGAAGAAATGTCTGTCTTGCAGTGCAAGCCCATGTCTGTCCCCTGTAACGTCCTTCCCGGGTCACATCCAGGCAGGCCTCAGCACTCTGCAGGGGAGGGTCTGGTCCATAGCTTCTCCCTGCCTGCCCGAGGTGGAGGGAGCCGGTGAGATTTACTGCCTGTGGACGCGAAGCCACTGTCGCAGACCTGGGGAGAGATGGTGTCCGTCAGCCCAGGGTCTTCCTCCCAGCTCCCCTTCCTGCTCTTGGGCTGTCCCGGGGCCTGACACCCCTCATCTCCCCCTGGGGCTGGTGGGATGCTTACGGTGAAGGCGGTAGGCAGTGGGGATCAGGCTCAGCAGGAGGATTGGGATGCTGGTGGCCAGGGGGACCCAGACCAAGGGGCTGCAGGCACCTGGAGAGCAAGACAGAACATGGTGTGGAGCTGCCCCTCCAGCTTAGCACCTGGCATCATCCTTCCCCGGCAGCTTTGGGGGATGAAGGGTAGGGTGGGGAGGGGAGAAAAGCAAGACAGGCTGTCAGGAGGGGGGAGGGCATGACCATTACCCAGGGGGGTATCCCTTGGAGGATGCATTACACCCCAAGGCATTGCAGAGAACTTAGCTACAAGTCATGATAAACCTTTTCATGGTGTCCTCCCTGGCATGGGAATTCACCATGCCTGCAGGACTGATGTGGGGCTGCACACCCAAGGGATACCAGAGCTTAGGCAGAGCTAAATGAAAGTACATCCTGGCCCCTAAACCCTTGTATATCCCAGGAAACCAATCCTAAAGGCAGAAGTCAGCTCCATCCAGAGTGGTGGGTCTAGGTGGACCTGGATGCCCACCCCTGAAGGGTCACGCTGTGGTTGCCCCCACCCCAGGACAAGCTCCAGCTGCACGGTGGGGGCCCCCAGGGGTTCAGCAAACCCCTTTTGCCAGGCAGCCTGAGCCAACTCGGTGCCATACCTTTCTTGCCAGCAGCTTTTCTTTTGGTTATGCACCACATGGGCTTTTTGGAGAGCGGTGCCTGAGTGGTCTTCAGCGGCAGAGGCAAAACATCAACTGGTGCATAAGGAGGAGAAGGGGATGGTTAATATGGCACCAAGTGCAGTGGAAGTCTCAAAGAGCAGGCAGGAAGGGCTGGGAATTTTGGCTTTTAAAACTAGACACATCCAGGGACCCCCCCAAAGGACTGGGTCATCCAGAGGGGCTGGGAGCTTGACCTGAACCTCTCGGTGGCCACAGAAGTTACCAAGAGCTTGTAAAAGCATTAATAAAACACTGTAGCAGGCAAACCAGGGCAGAAGGTTAAGGCAGGGAAAAAGGAAACTTCCTTGAGCAACATTTACTGCCCGGCACCATCTTGTCAATGTTGCACAAAATCACAGGTAGTGGGAGATTTCAGTAGCACTGGGAGGTTTTAAGGGATTCCTGGATCTTTTCCATATTCACATTGCTCTAATTTTTGCTCAAAATTGGATTTTTTTCTTTTCTGATAAAATGAGGGTAGGATTTATTATCATGTATCTGAATTACAGTGGAGCTCATTCATTTCTCTGTAAAGTTGGTCAGGAAAATATCCCAGTATTACCATTAAATAGCTGTATATCTGACCACTCAAATGCCACTTATGCAAAATTTTGAGTGATTCAAAACTATTTTTTTCTGCTTCTATTCAGCACTGAAATTCCTATGGAAACCACCGTTCTTTTACATGGAAAGGTGAGACATTGGGTGCCTGGGATTTACCTGGACAACTTCTCCCTTAAATTATGACAGACTTAAAGAAAAGGATTGTAAAGGCAATTTGTTTTATCATGAGTACCAAAGGAAAAAAAAGAAAATATCTAGCAAGGCCTGAGTCCTCCAAGAGCACCTGCTGGTGTTTAGTTTTACTTTGGAGTGTCCTTGATCATGTCGCACTTCAGCCCTGTTTTTCATGCTTTGCTTTGCACGTAGATATGTGCTTGGTTGATAAAAACCAGTTCTCTTTTATCTCGAACCAGCTTTTCTTCAAGCCGGCAAGAATCCAAAAGGGATTTCTCAGCCAGCTCAAGGTGCAGGACATATTTGCAAAAAAACCAGAAAGGTTGGGCTGCTGGGGATGATTTAGATCCAGCAGCTGTAGCTGCATCTTGGTTAAATAAACTATTTGTCTCCTAAAAGCCAGCAAAGAAAGGGCTGAATCCTACTTCAAACGCATTAGTTTTTCTATACTACCTCCTGCTTGGTGGTCAAGGGGAAAATGGGCTGAAAGGAGCTGTTGTATGACCCAGGGTCTGTAAAGCATCGCTCCCCCAGTGCCGCCCGCAGGTAGCTCTGCTTTCTGGTTGGAGCTCCGCAGTGATGGTGGGTTGTGAGCTTTGAGGAATAAATCCCAATTCAATCCTTTATGTGAAGGACTAGCTTGAAACCTGCAGCCAGACCCACCCCAGCAACATGAGGGGTGATGTCCTCTGGCCTTGACGCTGTTCTTGTTGCTTGGGGAAAGGGTGAGGAAGAACCAGGGTGCGGGAGGACCTGGGAGCTGAGCAGGGCACATATCCAGACTCTCATCCGAAGTACCAAGGGGGTGAGAAAAATACAGGGCATGGCAATATTGGGGGCTGAACGTCTTCCCGCAGAAATCCTAAGTCGCTAGGACCAACACGGTGCTCAAGGCATGACCACAGCAGAGCAACTGCTGGTGGCAAAAGGACTGTCACATGCAGCTGACCTAAAATACAGCTATTTTCTGTATTGTCTGACTTCCGTGGTCTCATAGGTCTCTTCAGAAAAACCCCAGAGCACCAACCTTGCATCTCAAAATTGGGAAGGATCTACTAACGCTCATGACCCCTACCCAGGGGACCTCATCACAGCCTGCTGGTGGCATATTTTGGAGCCCCAGGGGTGATGCTTACCCACACCAAGCCGTGTCCCGCTGCCCAGGAGGAGCTCGGAGGACTGGGAGACGGAGCAGTAATAGGTGCCGTTGTCCGAGGCTTGGAGGTGGCTGATGTGCAGGCTGTAGGAGGTGTGGGATCTTGCCCTGTGGACACTAAACTTGTCCTGGCTGATGTTTGCACCATACGTGGGTTTGCCCAACACGTTGAAAAACATCAAGAACTCGAAATTTTGCCTTTCCTGGCTCCAGCGGTACCAGTAGACCCCAGTATTCTCCTTCTTCAGCTCACAGAAGATTTCTGTATTATTATTAGTTTGGGCTAAAACATACTCTGGAGTTTGGGATAGAAGTAGATTTGTACAGAAACCTAAGAAAAAAGAGGCAGGAATATAGTTATTATTTTCCTTTCGTTATTTTTCTTCTGTGCTAAGTACAGATTTACTTTGCGGGTTTAATAAGATCAAGCAGTCACAGACCAAGGGATCACACAAGCGAGAAACGGGAGCATCTTTATCAGGATGCCCCCATATTCCCTTGGAGGCCTTTTTGGGTTCCTCAGCTATTTTTTGGTCAAAACTAGTTATACATGTGGAGTTTGCTCTGTAAACACTCGTTAGGGAGGAGGCTCAGTGGCAGGGAGAAGGATGGAGGGGTGATTTTGAGGGTGTCCTTGGGGCTGTACATGCAGGGAAGGGCTCCCCACCTCCTCCTGCAGATGCCCAGCTCCTGCCCTCCTTTTCTCTCTCATTTTTCAGAGAGGCTTCATTTTTCTTTCAACAGATTTTTTTTTTTTTTGGAGCATCTTAACTTATTTGCCAGATTTTTGTTCTAACAGATGCAACACCAATAAACTTCATCTCAGGTGCAGAAAAAGATGAAAAAACTGTGCAGAACATCTCAAAACGAGCCAATTTGATATTAGTTTTCAGACAATGTTATTTTCACATGAATTTCAAGACCTGGGGAAGGAGAGGGAGGGAGGGGTAGCGGTGGGGTTGAAAGCTTTGCTTTGGCATCGCATGGCCCTGTTTGGGCTTTGCAGCTTTTGTGGAAATTATCTGAGTCGTGTTTGGCCGGGGCAGATGTGAGCGGTGTCTGTGCGCGAGCGAGGACGTGTCCTTGGGAGAAGGACAGCGGGTGACTTGTGATCCTTTCTGTTCAGCAAACAGTCCTACAAAGCTGCAGATACCCTGGGACCGAGTGAAAAACAGCCGTCTGAAGATAAGGATGCTCTCGCTTCCCCGCGGCTGTTTCCCAGGCACGTTACACAGCCATGTGAAAAGCTCAACAAACATGTTTTTTGGCTTTTTTCACCTTAAAATGTCCCTATTCTTTAAAAATCCCAAAGCTTCTTACAGCAATTGTTGCAAACAGCCTTGTGTATCCCTGCAAACCCAGTAGTGTGGAAATGGGTTTGCATGACCACAAGAACACCTGAAGCCATCCTCATGGCCCGTAGCCCTGGTGTTCCCCATGTCCCTGATGGACACAGGCCTTCCTCCAGCCCTGCATCGAGGACCCCGTCGCTGCTGGTGCACTGCAGAGGCGAGCAGGCTTCAGTCCCAACATCTCAGACCTTGCACAGCAGCCACAGCATTTCACCACATCCTCTGGTGCTGAGACAATATAAATGTCTCATTATTATTAAAATACACAATGTCCAGGTTTTGGAGTGCAATTGTCCCAAACTTTGCTCTGGAAAACACCTGTGTGGTTTTTTAGGGGATGAAATGTGTGTGGCCATGGGTGGCTTCAGGGTCTCCTTGACTGCCCTGAGGTCTGGCTCTGCTGGGCACATGGGAAACTTAACCCTCCACGAAAACCTTTTCCTCGAGCTGTTGGAGGGATTATTAGATGAATCAGAAGGGATGAGAAGGGATCCTGGAAAATGCTCAGCTCAGATCTGAGCCAGTGGTCAAGCTCCAGCAGGGTGAGCTGGGATGGAACCAAAGCAGAAGCTCATCCTCTGCCACGCCTACATTCCCCAAAACCTCCTGTGCACTTTCCCAGTGTACACTCTTGCAAGGAACCACAGGGAATTGGGATGGGATGGGTTTTCAGCCTGCAGCAGTTTGAAAACGGTCCCTTTTCCCTTTGCACGTGCAGAGCAAACTCTAATTTATTGGGGTTTTCTCAGCAGGGACCCCACCGTATAGATCTATAGGATACTACTACCTGTATACAGGTGTTGATAAAGTGCCTCGGGCTGTTTGCTGCCAGACTGGCCATGTCTGGATGACCATCACATGGCGTGAACAAAACAATGCAGTCCTGACAGCCTCTAGCGAGGATGCTGGGCACCTCTGGACCTGGGCTGGGCAATGTCTCGGGGACCAGCTTGAGCTGCCACCCTAATACATATATTTATCAAGCTCTCAACACTCTCTGCCTAAGAACTGATGGCACAATTTGTCCTGTAAAGCATAATTCTACCACTTTGCCACGGCATCGACTGTATGTATTCGGTTCAGAACTCCTGCAACCTGTCTGCAAGAAGCAGAGGGCAGCATGGTTTTATAACACACCAATTCCATCTGTGGCCTTTGGGAAACATTCAGTCCTTGGATAGATTTAGAAGAAAATTTGATGGGGTGTTTATTATCTTCATGTTACACAGGCAGCGTAGATAGGTGCTACTTTAACTTCAGCGGCAGCTTCCCGCAGTCCGTCTGCCCTAAGAGGGTGCAGTACAAACAACTCTGCAGTGCCTAAACCTTTATATATTGCACTATAAATAGAATCGAATCGAATCGAATCGAATCGAATCGAATAGAATAGAATAGAATAAATAGGACTGTTTCAGTTGGGATGGACCTACAATGATCATCCAGTCCAACTGCTTGACCACTTCAGGGCTGACCAAAAGCTAAAGTATGTTATCAATGGCATTGCCCAAAATTACATGGTGATAGGTAATAACATCCTGTAGATCTATACTATGCCTGTATATTTAAACTTCCATCAATCAGCTGCCATGCAACGCGCCCCACATGCTGGAGTGGGGTGGAGGAGAGGCTCCAGCATGATTTTAGGTGCCCTCAACCCTTAAGAGATTTGTCCCTCTTACCTAGGATCTGGAGGCAGATGCAGAGATGGAGCCACAGCCGGGCCATGGTGGTGGAGTCAATGACGGCGGGGTTTTGTGCCAGCTCCCCCTTTCCGCACACGGTTACCTCTTGGTGGGTAGGGCTGGCTTCACCCCAAGAGGTTCTCCCCCGTCTCGGCCCAGATGTCTCACCGACAGCTGCCAAAAGGCATCTTCCCTCTTGGTGGGTAGGGCTGGCTTCACCCCAAGAGGTTCTCCCCCGTCTCGGCACAGATGTCTCACCGACAGCTGCCAAAGCGCATCTGCCACGGCAGCGCCCAGAGCCTCAGCCCGGCAGCTTCTTCTGCGCCGAGCCCCAAATCCAGGTGTGCATCAGGACAGCAGCCCCATGTGCTTCTCCAGCACTGCACAGGATCCCCCAAAGTCCCCTTTAGGAAGAAAAAAAATGAAAACTCATTGATTTTCAGTTACAATTTCTTCATCCTTCCTCACCTAGTTTTTCCTCCTTTTAATCTAGCTCCATGCAATTAAAAAATGAAAAATTTAGGAGCTTGGCATTAAAAATAAAAGAAGGAAAGGATGAATTTTGGCTGTTTTCTCCTCCGTTGAAATCAAAAAGCATTCAAAATAAGGAGAAGATGCAATTTGAGCTGCGGGGTCGTTCTCTTCAGCAGAATCTTTAGTGGGAGGTGTTTTTTCTCTGGGCCTGGAAAATGCTGAAAGCCAAAGCAGCTTGCCAGAAGGCAGAGGCGTGAGGCATCACAGAAGACTTTAAAGCCAAGAGCAAGAAACCTCAAACAAATTTAGTGGCTGAAAAACCGCAAAAATAAGGAAATTCTACTGGGGCTCCCCACCTGCTTTGGTAGCTGCGACACTGCGCAGCTCATGTGCAGAAATATTTAAATGATAAAATATCAGGGTGGCTTTGAAATGTTTTCGGGAGGGAGAGCTTTGGACCACTCGGAGTTTCGGATTCGAAGAGTGCAAATACGTGATGTGAAATTACAGGGGTGAACTGGTGTAAAAAAAATATAATTATTAATTTTATTTATTCACTGCCCCTTTGGCTGCTGAGCAGGGTTCAGTTTTCTCTTATTCCCGTGTCATGCAGATGCTCATGATCTTTACAAAGCATCTCCCCTGGCCTGGCTCCCCAGCGAGGGGGGATTTCCTGGGGGGGATCTCACGTCAGGGCACCGAGAAACCTCCCCTGGGGTTTGAGTTGGCGGGTGAATAGGAAAAACGATTTTGCATCTCGTGCAGTGCAATTTTTTGGTCCACTTTGTACCAGATTTTTCCATGCTGCTGTATCACAGCACCTCCCCATTTCTGTTTAAAATAATTTCCTGCTCGAAGCTGGTTGCTAACCACCAAAAGCCTTGCCACCAAGGGCTCGGCTTCTAAAATTTAGGGTTGGCTGAATCGCTCCTTAACTCTTTCCTGGCAGGAGAAAGTAATTTTAGTGTTTTCAAACACATCTCAGTGCTTTTAAGCTCTTGTTTTCAGAGCTGAGCCCCTGACGTGGGGTGCAGCAACCCTTGCTTTTCCCCTCTTTACCTCCTGCTCACTTTTCCCCTTTTATTTCACATGACTCCCAAATTGGGACCTCCCCAGAATGGGTTGTAGGCACCTCTTTTTTTTTGGGGGGGGGGGGAAGGAGGGTGTTTAATATGAGAAATGCCACTGTAAGTGAATTATTCTTTATCCCCATAGTGAAGTTGGTGAGCTGAGCCTGACATCCCAGATGCTGCAATGGCTGCGTCCCCTTTTCCTCGCTGCTGCTGTCACTTGGAGCATCTCCTGGGCTCCTGGCCAGGACCAAAGTGCTCCCAGAAGTGGCTTTTGTCACCGTTGTTACAAGCTTGGACATAGGGTGTGTTACACTGGGCGCCAAATGCTGCTGCAAGGCTGGTGACACCGAGTTGTCTAAGCAGATATATTGGGTTGTCCAAACAAATATTTTGGCTTGGGAGGATCACCCAGGTCATTATAGCAGCTTTACCTATAGGGTGTCTTTATGGAAAGACAAAGGAATATTTGCAATGTAAAAGCATAGTGTGTGTGCTGGAACAGGGATTAATTTTTAATGTTTTTTTTGAAGCTGCTGTTTATACGCAGCTGAACTATCTACCAGCAGCCAAGCTGTTCCCAGCACTGGCTGTTACTCCTACAAGAAAACATTTTGGAGGTGGGATGCCTTTGTCTGGCAGCCCATCGCCAACAAAACTAAAAGCACGGTGGGAACGTGCAGGAGAGCAGCTGCTGTTTATAACAAGCCCATGTTGTTTGGGGCTGCTGGCCTGGAAAGAAAATAGGGGAGGAAAAAAGGTGTAAGTTGAACTGATCTGTTAACACGAGCAAGATTTGTTGGTGACCTTGCTGGGACGCAGCGGCTCCTAATCACGAGTGTTTGGTTCACAGCTGGGCCAAGATGGAGCTGGGGGGGGGGGGATTGCTGAATTTTGGTGTAATTGTGTTACTCTGCATGATTTCTAGGGAGAATTTATTCTTTTTCTGAAGTTAAAGACAACCAGGCCAGTCCCCAGCCCAGTCAACTCCCTTGCCCCATCCCAGTGCTCACCCTGTGGGTCTCCTCCTCACCCACCTGAGGGGGAAAACATCCCCTTTTCTCTTTCTTAGCCCACACCCCACGTACCTCACCACGCCGACACTAATCCCCCACGCTTTCACCAGCTTCGTTACATTTTCAACTTTTTATTCTCTCCCTACGATGGGTTTCTTACAGCAAAGTGTTTGCTCTCAGGGGGTTGGAGCAAAGCATCGGGGTAGAAGAATGGGGTCTACAGATGAGAAGCAGGACCTGTCTGGGGTTTCATCTCTGCTGAAGTCCCATCTTGCAGCAGAGGTAATTGCAGCTGGGCTGTCAATGCCAGGCTGGAGGAATAGTTGCCATAAAAATAAGGAAAAATCCATTCCCTCCATGCTTTCTGGGATACAAGGGCTGACTTTTGGGACTGTGGAGGGATGCTCAGCCTCAAGCCTGGTCCAACACAGCCAGCACCACAGGACCTGGAAATAAGGGCCTGGTGGGGATAAGGGGCTGCTGGATGGAAACTCCCCAGGACTCAAGCAGCCACAGGCGAACTTTTTTTGTGGCTTTTTAAATTTTTAAAAATCACTGTATTCCAAGGAAGGGTGTAGCTTCTGCAGTATTTCATTAGGGGGAAAAGCAGCGATGCAAATGATAGCGTTTTCACTCAGTAAGATCAGTACCACCTTTTTCTTAGTGCAATGGAAGGAAAAAAAAAATCAAGCGGGTCGAGTTTTCTTTTCTAAACTGCTTCGAGCTAAGATGTGGTTTGTAGGATGAGGGTGGGGCGGGTGTCCGTCTGCTTTTGCAGGTGTAGATTTACAGCTGTACTTCAGCTGATGCAATATCACGGTCGAGGATCCTGACACATGGTGGGGTACCCTCAGGGTGTGCACCAGTGCGCGGCGGGCTGGTTTGTGGCAGGGAAAAATGCCACTTTTGAAATCCAGAAGCCAAAATGGATCTAAACTACAAATTGTATGAATTTTCCTGCCATCTCGTTTCCCTCCCCCAGCAAGCAATTTGTGCTTGGAGAGGGAGTCTGGGGGGAACCGCATGTATTACAGGCGTCAGGTGTGAACCCCATGTGTGATCTCCCCAAAAAACCCCAGGTGCTATTGGGGGACTTTGGGAGGGTGGATGCTGAGGGGACAGGCTCCAGCTCTCCCTCTTCAGGGCACTTGGTGCAAGCAGAGGTTAGCATGAGCGAGCGGCGACTAAACCTGGGCCCCTGCAAAATAGATAAGGGGGCAGAGCAGCTGCTCCCATGTGATTTCAGCCTCCCTAATCAGCGCCAAAGAGGATAAGGAAAGACAGGGAAAGTGTCCTTGGGAAGACAAGGGGAGGGATGCAACACCTGCAGGAAGAAAAGCAGCCAAAGAAGTAAACAGAGGTGTTATCAGCCCCAAACAATGACCTGCCACGGCTATAAAAAGCCACCGGGGTGAGACCTCGCGAACACCTTGACCTTAAAGGTGCCGAATCCACCGGAGCTCTGCAGTGACCGTCTCCAGGTCCCCGGGACTTCCAGGACATCCAGCCCAGGATTGGTGAGATCTTATTATTGGGGTCCTACTACGCTTCTGCTTCGCTTCGCCCATTCCCTCACCCCTTCCCCATCCCCTCCCCGGGAGCCGGTGGGTTGCGGCAGCTGCCCACTCGGCCACAGCCGCCCGTCCCCACCTTTCCCGTCCCTTGCTACCAGGTTTGAGGGCGCTTTTCGGAGGGGTGGGTCGCGGGGTCGCAGCCTTCCTCTGCGGGTGGGTTGGTGGTACTGGTGTTATGGTAGCTTTGCCCTGAAACGGAGCCAGCTCGCATCTTGTTCCCCTCACTATGATGACCGACATCGTTAGCAACTGGAAGCTGGAGCAGTTTGTGCTCCAGAAATGCCTCCCCCCAGTTTGGTCCCCGGGGGCCTTCCAGGGCCCGGAGGCATACCAGCAGCTGTGCCAGCAGTGGGAGAGCTGGTCAGAGGAGACCAAAAAGTCCAAACCCTCAAACAGATGCAAGAAGCGAGCGGCTTTGCAGGGTTTGCTGATGGTGGGTAGGGAGTTATCCAAATTGCTGAAGGAGGCTCTTGAGAGCGTGCAGACACTGGAGCAGGCCAAGGGTGAGCTCAAAATGCAGGTGGACAACCTGAGGGCGGAGGTGCAGGGTTTGTGCGGGGACTCTCTGCGGAATGCAGTGGAGATCACCCGGCTGGAGAACAAGCTGGGCTATGAGAAGATGAAAGCAGAGGAGCTGCAGAAGGAGGTTGGGAAGTGGATTGGGGAGACCCATGATGCCCAGAGCGCGGTGCGGGCGGTTCTGCAGGACATCCAGCGGGACCGGGGCACTGGCCCTGATCACAAGGTATGCCACGCCAAGATCCAGGAGCTGCAGGCAGAGTTGGGGGTGTCGAGGGGCATCGTGGCTGCCATCCAAGGCAAGAGGAGCCGGTTTGGGAATGGCGAAGGGGAGGATTCTGTGGACCTGCACCCACCCCACTACGACTATGAGGATGATGTGTGGGGTGCCAACAGCCCCACCAGGCCATCCCCCTACGCTCCTCTGCGGGAAGAGGTGTCCCAGCTGCAGGGAGGGGAGGCAGAGGCTTCCAAAATTAAAAAGAACCCCCCCGATGAGCCAGCCAGCTATGGCCCACTCCAGGCCATAGACACCAACAGGGCTGTCCTCTGGTTTACCCCTGAGCAGCTCAAAACAATGGGGAAGATGCTGGGGCCATTGACAAAGGAGACAGCAGTCAACTGGCTGTCCAGGGCCCAGCGGCTGCCCAGGTGTCAGAGCGGCAACTTGGTCAGTGACCTGATAGACATGGTGAGAAAGTGCATGAAACCAGATGATTTCGCGGCGCTGCCGGGGGACGTGCAGATGGGCAACGTCCAGGACATCAGGGATGTCCAGTTGGCCGTGCTAAAAGTGTTCTTCCCAGAGGTCAACCCCTTAGTCCTCTTCCACCAGGAGAAGCAAAACCCTGAGGAGCGGCCGGATGCCTATGTTAACCGTAAGAAGATGCTCTACCAGATGGCTGGGCTGCCCGGCTCAAAGGACACCCCCCTCAACTTTGACAGGCCCGAATTCAAGGAGCCGCTGGTGGTGGGGCTGACCCCCCCATTGCGGGTGATTGCCGGTGGGGACGCAGCCAGAAAGCCGCTGTCAGAGCTGGAGCAGATCCTGACCCAGAATTTTGAGCTACAAAAGCAGGCATTCCCAGGGTACATGCTGGGGGGGAAGAAAGGGAAAACCTCGGCCATGACCTTCCAAAATGCGGGGGTGAGAAAAATGCAAGGAGACAACCGAAAAGATCCTGATGGCAAGGGTGGTTCAGGGAAGGAGAACCAGCAAGGGATGAGGTTTCAGAAGTCCAACCCTTGGCGGGCCGAGCTGAGGAAGCGCTTGATAAAATACGAGAAGCAGGAGGATATTGATGGCTTGCCGGACGCGGAGCTCTTCCAAAAACTGGCCCTGCATGAGGCCAAAAAGCACAGCAGCTCCCACCCAATTGACCCGGGGTCTAAGGCTCAGCAATAGGGCTGCCAGGCACCCGCATCGCCCCTTTTTGTGGCACCAATTAAGACCGATTCGTGGGGGCGCCTGATAGTTGATATAACTATTGGAGGAGGGGTGCTTGGACAAGTGATGCTAATTGATACTGGTGCCTCTTATTCAATTCTGAATATGGTTCCTGGCGAAGCTGGGCTCTTCCAAACCTGTGAAATTATTGAACTGACAGGGCCAAATGGCCAAAAATCATCAGTGCCGTTCACAGGGCCCATAACCTTTGAAATTGGGACTGCCAAAGGGTCTGAAAAATTTGGGAAAATGGAAATGAAGGGAAAGCCGGGAATTTTAGCCATCTCTGCCCTGACAAAGATGGGGGTGGTGGTGGACCTGGCAAACCAAGCGCTGTTACACTGCCCCCAAAGTGATGCGCTTGTCATCCCGGCGAACCACAGGGTGATGTCGGTGAAAGCCCCCGAGCTCCTGGTCCTCCCTGAGTGGGAACCCCGAGTGAAACGGGTCACGGAGCGGTTCCCCCAGGTCTGGGCAAGGAGCAAGCTGGACTGTGGGCGGATTGACGCTGTTGTGGCAGTCAAAGGGCCAGATCCCCCTCCTCAGCCACAGCCCTGCTACCCGGCTGAGGCGGAGGATGGCTTGTGGGACACAGTCAAAACCCTGTTGGAGCAGGGGGTGGTGGTGGAGCAGCAGAGCACCAGCAATGCCCCGGTGTGGCCCCTGCGGAAAGCTGATGGGAAAACGTGGAGGCTGATGGTCAACTTCAGCGCTCTGAACCGTGTCACCCCATTGCGGACCTCCATGGCAGCCAAGTACCCTGACATCATGGTGGTCACCACCCGGGGATCCAAGTGGTTCTCGGTGCTCAGCCTGACCAGCCCATCCTTTGCCATACCTTTGCACCCTGAGTCCTGGCACAAGTTTGCTTTTACCCTTCGAGGACGGCAATTTGCCTTCACCAGAGTCCCCCCGGGCTTCCACAATGCCCCTACCATCTGCCACACGCACGTGGTGAGGATGTGGGAGAAGCTCAGCCACCGGGAGAGCGTGCTGTCCTGCGCGGGTGACATCCTCATCCACACCCGGACGAAGGAGGAGAACCTGGAGGTGCTGGCGGAGGTGCTGGAGGCTGTCCAGAAGACAGGCTTCAGGGTCAGCCCCACAAAGGCCCAGCTGTGCTGGAAGGAGGTCTCATACCTAGGGGTGACCCTGGGGGAGGAAGGGCGCTCCCTGGAGAAGCAGAGGGTTGAGCTAATACAGAGGGTGTCGGCACCAGCTGATGCCACCACCCTGAGGTCCTTCCTGGCTCTCCTGAGGTTCTCCCGGGAGTTCATCGAGGGCTATGCGGAGAAAGCTGCCCCTCTCTGCCACCTCCTGAAGAAGGACACCCCTTGGGAATGGGGGCCAAAGCAGGACGAGGCAGTGAAAACCTTAAAGGAGAGCGTGGTGCGAGCCCCCGTGCTGGTGTATCCCCAGGGGGATAGACCCTACGTCCTGCAGTTGGCCAGCACGGGGAGCGGGCTGCAGGCCACCCTGGGCCAGCAGCACGGTGCTTGTCTCCTCCCCGTCGCCCATGCCTCGCGCCTCCTGACACTGTCTGAGCAGCAGTTCACAGATTACGAGAGGGAGGTTTTAGCCTTGACCTGGGCCCTGCAGCACTGGGAGCACCTGGTGGGGTCGGCCCCAGTGCTGCTGAGGACCTCCCGTGCCCCGGTGAGATATGTCTTGTCGGGGAAGGGGAATGAGGGTCCCCCGTGCTGCCCCAGGATGGCCAACTGGGCGTTGGCATTAACCAACAAGGACATCCCTGGGGACCCCTCACCTGGTGCCTATGGGGTAGTAATCAGTGGAGAGAGGGACGGGGAGGAGGCAGGGGGTCCTCTGGCCAAGTCCAAGCTGCAGTGGGCGCCCCTGTTTGAGAGCGGCCTCAGCCTGGCAGAGGCCAAGGACAGAGGCTATGTCGTGTGGTTTGTAGACGGGTCCAACTACCATGAGGAAGGGGTGCCCTACACGGGCTATGCCGCCGTCAACCCTGGCACTGGGGAGGTGGTGAAGGGGAAGTGCCTGCCGCACTCCATCCAGGCTGCTGAGCTGGTGGCCGTGACGGCCGCCCTGGAAAACACGCCATCAGACCAGCCCCTGGCCGTATTTTCGGACTCGGGTTGGGTGGTGCGGGCGGCACTGGAATGGCTGCCCCTCTGGAAGGAGCGGGACATGCAGTCCGCTGACGGCAAGCCCGTCACCTACGCCAAAAAGCTGCTGTACCTTGCGAGGTTGGCAGAGCAGAGGGCACACCCAGCCCAGATCATTAAGGTGAAGGCCCACAAGAAGGGAACGGAGGAGGCCAAGTGGAACAAGGAGGCGGACGCCAAAGCCAAGCAAGGTGCGAAGGAAGGGCTGATGTGGAAGGCCAGCAAGACCTCGGAGAACGGCCCCGTGTCAGTGGCTCCCAGCAGACACTGGGAGAGCGTTGACCTCCTGGGCTTGCAGGCGCAAGACCCCAGCATCCAGGATTTGGTGCAGGGCAGGGAGTATAAAGGGTGCAAGGTGTGGAAAGACGTCTCGGGGCTGGTCTTGGCACGGAGGGAGGGGGTGGACTTCCCGGTCTGGGTGGTGCCTGAACTTGTCCGGATGGAGCTGGTGGCCCTGGCTCACGAGCAGGGGCATTTGGGGATGGACAAGACCATGGTGAGGCTGCAGGTAGCTGGGTGGTGGCCTGAAATGAGAGAGGACGTGGAGAGGTACGTCAGCAACTGCCTGACATGCGCAGCCAACAATCCCAACAGCAAAACGGCCAAAGCCCTCCTGGGCCACCAGAGGATTTCTGGGCCATGGAGCAAGTTGCAGATGGAGTTTATCGGCCCTTTGCCCCAAACAGCCCAAGGGAACCGGTATTGCTTGGTGATCAGTGATAACTTCACCAAGTGGGTGGAAGCGTTTCCAGCTCGAAACAACACGGCCAGTGCAACAGCGAAGATCCTGGTAGAGCATGTCTTCTCACGGTGGGGTGTCCCAAAGGAGATCAACTCGGACCGCAGCCAACGCTTTGTTGGAGAAGTCACGAAAGGGGTGTGCCAAGCCCTGG